TCACCTGTGCATAAAGCTCGAAAATTCTCTATAGAAGAAAAAAATCGATAACCATCATTGATTAATTTTAGTTTTTGATCTTCATACCAGCCGTTTTCGGTACAACATCATTATAAAGCTAATATAAAAAGTAAAATTTAAACAATAGATTAGAAAAATAATATTATTTGGCTAACTTGAAATATTATACGTCCTATTGGCTTATCTTCAATATTAATGTCGCTAAATGAAAAATATACATCTTTCATTTAAAATAAAATGAAAATAATGCTACAGTACAAGAAACATTTTGATCGAGCCATAAGTTTTAAAGATGATTTTTGAGTATGAAAATTTATCTACAACAACAGTAAGAAAATAGATATTCATCAAAAGCATAGAAATCGACTTTATTGAGAAATATGCATATATCTGCATGCAAACTATTATAAACTAAAGTCTCTTCTGGTAAAACTTGATAATGCATGAAACTACAGAGACAGCAATCACCTAGATGTTTTCATGCCAGATAATTCATGATAAAAATATAATCAAGGTGTTAATATTAGTCTTTTTTTATATGAATTTTAAGATTACTACTGTCTTTGGGCTATCATGTAGTATCAAATCAGCCCCAGTGTTAGAATCAATACTTCTATATATTTCCTACAACGAGTACTAGCGATATAGCTGGAATCAAGCCCAACAGGACGCCAAGTTCTTGTGCTACCTATAATTCGTTCTACAAGAAGAATGACTAATCAATATTAATTGCATGCTACTATTACTATATCAGAATGCTAGAGAACAGATAATCTGAGAGAAACAATCGATAGTAATTCCTCGGTTGATATTTCTAATTATGGAAGATACTGATCTAGATACTTGTCGTAAAGTACTTTGTCACTCAGCTGTGATGGTTCCACATGAGCTTGAACAATATTGATTATTGAAAGTATCATACTAAAGCAGAAAAAAAAACTACTAAAGACACTCATTTTAATATCATGAAAGCTAACTGACGAACAATTTTATTTTTTTATCTAAGTAAGTTGGTTAATTTTTCAAACAATTCTCATTGTTCGATCACTTTAGTACATCCATGAAGTTCTCATAACTTGAGCTTAAAGAAGTATTGATTAGGTCGGTACGTTCTGATAACACACCATTCACGTTTATATTACTATAATAATATGGATGTCCATGAATTTAATTTAATATTTGATTGAATTTTGAACTCATGAAAAGAATCGTTGGTTCACTAGGCATATACAAATAAATGGAACAAATTCAATACACAAATAATATGGATTGCACAGGAATTCTTCTTAAAAAGAACAATGAAATCGGTTATGAGTAAAGCGTCAAGATATTCCTGCAAATGGTTAGTAAAGAAAATAGAAACACAAGAAACTCAGTACTCTTTTTTCAATAAAATTAAGACTTCTTTCGTAGATAAGAACATGTCAGTTTCAGCGAAAAGCTTACAAGTTTAGGGTATTCTACCTTTTGTTTTAGTATAAATTACCTTTTCTTCATTCATTCTAATAAGAATTCAAAACTAAATATGACAAAATATAGGGGATACATGTTTGCTTCTTCACCACGAACATGTCCAAATAATGGTATAAATTTTATAAATGATGCATTCGAGAAAAAGGAACTTGTTCTTTTTCTATAGTGATAAAGAGATTTGATTGTAAATTTAAAAATTATTGCATCCTGAAAGATTAGAATAAGTTGAGTCTGCCAAATTTTCATGGCATGGATTTAGATGATCAGTAAAATAGATGGTATGATCAGTAAGAAAAAATATTATAAAATCTATTGATTGAATGAATGATCAGTTATATATTAAAGTACCAGTAAACTAGTTAAATGATCAGTTGTTAAATTAAAAGTTATGTAATAAAATTGTAGTATCGGTCAATAAAATAGAGTAACAGTTAGTTAAAGGAAACATTAAGTAAAGAAGCCAGAAATTAGAGTATCCAGAAGTTTGCTAATATGACTCTCGCCAATAGTGCCGAAACTGCACCACATTTTCAACTATTATAGGAAACGATATTGATATATGATACGGACTCTTCACAAATCTCACACAGTTGATATTATGTTCTTGCCAACTTGACGAACTTACAGCAACTTTTGATTCAAAGCTGATTGATTCAAAGCCTGTTGTTACTATAGTGAATTGCTCGAGTTGACTGTCGTGAATATTGGCGAATGTCTACATGCCTTTCGCTAATATTGCCGAAAGTTGGGTGGACATTCGTCAACGTACCCCCTGAACTCCCGCTATTAATCGGCGAAAATCATATTGGTGAAGATCGAGTATCCCAAAAAGTACATCAGAAGGGATTTATGGTGGGCTATGGCTTTGGTTGAATTTGATGAAATGAATCTAGTAGACACAAACAGCCACAGTCCCCACTCACTCACCATCATATCACGCTCACACCCACCATCGCGATGTGTATTTGTTTAAAAATTTGTAAACAACCATCGGCAGCAAAGACTGTCTCTATTCGTATGAAAAGAAAGAGAAGTCGACCAGAAAAAGGAAAACGTACTTTGCTAATCCAATAATTTATTTCTGATTTTTCCCATTTCGATTTTTTCTTTTATTCGATACTATATTTTATGGATAATTTTCATCTTTTCTACTGATAAAATCTGTCTTATTTACTTATCAAATTTCTTTTTTTTACTGGTACAAATGATATTTTTTTACTGCTATTTTATATAATAAACTGATCACTTTCTCATTATTTGCTGGCAATCTAAATACTAATCATTGAATCTTTAAACATATCATTCAATCTTTTAACTGATCATTTATAGACTATTTTACTGGTCATTGCATCTATTTTACAAATCAAATATTTTGTTGCCAATTTTCACTGCAAACAGGTGTAAAATGAAAAACTAACGTATGAATGTATCACAGATCACACAGATCTATCTAAACTTGGAAAATACAAAACACTGCTTGCAATGTATTTTATTGGAAGAATTCATCACAAAAAATTCCATGAACGAATTTTTAACAACCATGCAAAACAACAGATGTCGCTCATTCATAGATTGCTTTGTTTTACTTTCCATAATCTAAGGTATTGTCTCTAGAATTACTTTCCTAGTTTTCATCTCCTTTTCTAGTTCTTCCAAATTTTAATAGATCCTATAATTACTATATATTATTCATTCGTAGATTTATTGAGAGTTATGTACGAGTGAAAATTATATGACAATAGTGAATTGTATGCTGGTGTTGTGTGCATCGTTTTTTTTATAACTCGCATATGATATTAGTAGAAACAAAATGAAAGGTATTAAAGCATCGAAAGATATATACCGAGTCAGAAAATATAACGACTTCATGAATATTGGAACCGATGATATATAACAAAAACAAAACTGAGAAATCTTTCCAATGAACCAATGAAACATCAAGTTTTCATTGGTAAATATTGAAAACTCACACAGTTTTTCTAAAATCACAGTTTCTCAGATTATATATGAATGAAGAAAGAGATTGCTATGGATACTAGATGTATTTTGCCGTTAGAACGTTCTATAAGTGAACTATAACCAAGGTTCAACAGGCGATTGAAAGAAAATGATTTTCTCATGATAAACAATATTTATTGTACTGTTAAGCAAGTATTTAATGAATCATTTTCGACGGCAAGCAAAATAGTGTTCCCAAAAAAGAAATCGAAAACAAACAGCAAAAATTCTCCAGTCAAAAAATTCTCATGGCAATTGTTTGATAAGCGTGTACGAAGCCTCATCATCGTTTTTTGAAGCGTTAAATGCAATTCATTTTTGTAAAGTTTTGATGGTAATATAAAGACAAAGCATGTTGAGATCGATGGAATAAACGAGACAAAACAACCAACAAGATATAGCCATGGTTCACGAGCCGATCTTATACAACCACTCATGAACGAAATGATCAGTCGAGGCAAACTCAATAAGATTAGCGTACATAGTGCAACTAAAATATTTCAATGTTTTACTATATGGTTACGTAAATGTTGGTTAAATGATTGATCAGTTTGTACATCGGTACGGTTAGAAGCTAATGCTATGATAATCCACAGAGCAGATGTAACATTTATTGAAAACGAAGTTAGAAAATGAAGACGGATAATAAATGAATATTGAAGGAAACACCAAACACGATGCTCATCTATATCAATATCATCGATTAATTGACGATGAATAGGATCATGAATATATGAAATTATGATTAAAATAATTACAGTTAAAATGGCCCATTTCGAGAATTGTTTACTTTTACTTTTTTGAAAATGAACACCTTTAATAGTACTGATCATTCGTTCAACTGCTACACATGAATTGAGCCATTCATTTGACGATAAAAGTATTTTAAGAGTAACATCGACAACAATACAATTGAAATCAAGCAGTGATCGATTGTTTATAACAGACATGTGTGAAAAGATCAATAGCCAAAATTTGATTGTTAGTGTAACTAATGTAAGAATTGCAGCAATTGATGACAGTAAACGATAATAACCAGTACCAACTTCTCTTGGTTTCTTCCTACAAAATGTTACAATTGATAACATTCCACTGATAAATCCAAAAATCAACATAATTAGTATAATAGCAACACTTATTTTGATAATTATTGGTTGTCGAACAAGTGGTACCATTGGCTTAATATGATATCCAAGAATTGCATCAAGTGAAAATATAAAACTTTCTGTTGAAAATTGACATTGACTGCCATAATAACAATCTGGACAAATGCATATTGTTTTTGTTGAACATGTTTCATTATTTTGAAAGCATTGACCATTATTTTTACATTGATTGTATCCTTGGCAATCGTTGCTTGATGTATGATTAAATGGAAAACAATTGGAAAATCGATCATTATCACATATGCACGTCAAATTTTGGTCGTAAAAACACATGATTTGTAAATTTTGTCTACATACTAATGGATAATATTTTGTTTGTGTTAAATATGCATATGATGAAAAAGTATCATTGAAAAGATCTTTAATAGAGTAACAACGTTGTTTTTGTTGTAGTTGTATATAAATATATTCTAAAGGTTTAAATACTCCTCGAAGTACTATCCGATAGTAAAATTGATTATGCATTTGAACAAAAACAATATTAAACGGTTGTCTTGCGTGAACTTTTTTTAATACAGTTGTTCGTTCATGTTGGGCATCTTTAAATGCAGTAATTAAATGAACAAGCAACAACGAAGTTGTTGAGATTGTTGTCTCATTCAAACGCATATCAATTTGATTGTTTCTATTTTGGCGTAGTTGACCAGAATAATCTTCTGGACATAAGCAGGTAAATACTTTTAAGCTTATACGATCATAACTCGGAACACAAACACCATTATTTTGACATGGATTGCTTGGTGACTGACATATTGATTGTGTCAGATGGCAGTATCAATCCAATTTAAATAATGGGCAAATACAGATTTCTGAATCAAGACAATATGAATCATTTGCGCAAGTACATTTATGTGTAATATTACAATAAATACTAGAATATCCTTGATTGCGTCGACAAAAAAATGAGGATTTTTGATTGGCATATCGCATGCATTTACCATATTTACTACATGGTAGTAGACATGAATCTGTTTCTCGTATTTCAGAAAGAAATAAGTGAGTAACAATTCGATTGACAGGTAAAAATTGAAATGGTATTGTCAAATACCAACTAGTCCAATAAACTAATTCTGTTTTTTCGTAAAGATCAATGCGTATGGAATAATTGGTTGGCAAAGCCTTTGGCCTATCTGGGTAGAATATGTAATTTGTTCATGATTAGCTATTGTTTTTTCATGCTCATCTATGAGCATAATTAATACTTGAAAAATAGCAGAAACATATGTAGAGTTTTGCCATCGTAACTGAACAGTCCAACTAATCCGTTCATTCTGCCATTGACATCGAGCACCAAAATAATTAGGTGGACAGAGGCATATTTTTGTTTCAGTTTTTCTACTTATTACAAGAATACCACGATGGCAATATGATAGCAATTCTGTATTGATAAGAGTTTTAATGGTTTTCTTATGATATATTTTAAAATCAGATGAAATAGAACCATCGTTTATTATTGCTGGAAAATATCCTAATTCTTTTACTGTAAAAAAAATAATTTGGATACTTGGCAGTTTGCGGTGTAGATTGTAAAGTACATAAATATTCATTGTTCGGAAAAGTTTTAACGTTGTACTGGTCCATTAAATTTGACTTGCTTGGTCGAGAAAGACATGTGCCATTTTCTGGCAACAATATTTTTGAATGATGATTTGTCTGGCAAAGTTCCTGTACAGTGACTCATTTACTATTGTTCCAAGACAGGTAATTTTCACTCACATCCATACATTGTTGAAGTAGATGCTACGAAATATAAACGTTTCATTACAAGTATGCAGATATTTTTCATACATCTTAGTCAACGGTAAGCAATTAGTTATTTCCAAGTGTTCATTTTTACATTCATATTCATTTAAAGAACATATCGTGTTCGGACAACTAAGCTCATCGGCGCCATTCAGACAATGCCAAAAACCGTCACAGCGCGTGTATACATCATTACACGGCCACCAACTACAATTGGTTTCATCTGTTTCATTGATTTCAAGCGAACCTAAGTCATCATTACGATTGAAATTGCATAAATCTGGAAACGACACTAACATGAACGATTCATGTGTATATACGAATCTTCTCTTAAAGGACAGTCTGGCTGTTCGTTGCCGATGGCAACTGGTGGTAAACATATGTTTACATCTGAAGGACATTTAAATCTTTTTGACTCGTTCAATTGACAAGCATTAAATTTTTTATCTTCGTGAAAATAGCAATCAGCTATACCATCAGCAACACGATGATAAGGAATGCATTTCTTCGATTGATTGCAATGAAAATAAGATGTATCTTCACATGATTGTTCATTACCATTTTTTAAACAATATTCATTCATCAGTGAGAATTTTTTCATTGTTTCATTAAAGTCGTTGAATTCCACAATGCTGGTTAAATTTAAACGATTGCAACATGTTAGTTCAATAATTAGATCTATAGATGTAACTCTCGATGCTAATGCACGACATCGTCTTGGATTGAAACATACAAAATCAGGTGCGATATTTTTTTTAAATTGATCGACAGATCGATTAGTGAGGTAAACAAATTGAAGCAATCCGAACAAAATAAGATAGGCAGGTATTACTAGCCATTTGGAGCAACAATGCTGAAATAACGGCTCACATTCTTGATTACAAACGTCTGATATGATTGGAGAATCTTGTTCAATATTTTGTGGGTCCGTACGTGATGGCTCTAAAATATTTAAAATAGTCGAGGTTTTGGAAAATTTTGTTCTAGTTGCATATTGACGCATCTCTTTTCAAAAATCTCAAACGTCTTTTTGGAAATAACCTGTGGTACTGTCAAACACAATAAATCTGATGTAATAATAGTACTATAGCATGAAATTTTGTAATGCATGGGGTTTATTCTATGACGTGTTTGAATGTTCAATTTATCATAGTTATTATTTACAAGCATTCTATCGTTTATGCGTATCGTTTTCTATACGAAGAGATCTCTCCTATCTTATTCATTATATATCATTTTAATCATTGTTCAATGGCTGTTAGTATTGGTTTTCCTTTTACCACCAATTTTTATTAATTGATATTCTCGTTTACCTACAGAGAAATATTGTCTTATTCCTTATACAGCTGTAGTTGCAGAAGTCTATCATATTCTTATTTTATATTGTATTCCATTGATTGGCATCGGAGCAACATATACACGGATAACTATATTTATGCGCCGAGCAAGTCAGACATCGACACTGGTTCTTGCTGCCATACAACGACAACGAAATCATACAGATTTAACAGTTATGAAACGGATTATTATGTTGGTATCAGTATTAGTGGTATTACGGTTCCCGACTATTGTTATTATGACACATGGATCTATTGTTGGGCACATGTATCCATTAGCACACAGAATAGTTGGCGTTATTACATCAATGTGTTTAATATTTATTGGAATTTCAACAATTTATACAACACCGCAATTACGAAAACAAATGCTTAATCCTGTTTGCAATCGAAATAATCAAGTACGACCTCAATAAGTACCAATACATCAAGTAAGTGGTTTAGTAACAGCGACGGATATTACAACAAATACGCAAAAAAGCAAAGGGAAAACCGTTCCACGATTACAAAACATTCCTTGATTTTGTGTACTTCAATTGAAAATGTACAGTTTTATTTAAAAATGATGAAATTTCTGTTAACCATCCTAATTTCAACCCATTATATGCACACATATTGTAGAGCTTATTCAATGTGTATGTCTGCTGAATTGTTACCTAGCTTCTGTGGTTGTTTCCACAATGTAATAAATCTATTTTGTAGTCATTCATTTTTATTTGCTCTTCGCTATTCAAATCATTGTGTATACGTTATAAATTTAGGTATTTGACTCAAACGTGCTCTGTGTTGTCCCAAATATGCGTAATCTTACTTCATTTATGCTATACTATTAACTGTAGAGATACCTAAATGCAATAATATATTATTGTCTCCTTCTTTAGTATGTGGCTGGAAAAAAAATGTTGAATAATCTAATATTTTAAACAAATGTAAAATTTTTAACCACAATTTTCAATCGAAATTTTGCTTAGTCCAATAATCTAGTCATATACGGTTGATCTAATTTTTTGCTACTTCGCGTCAACGAGCATATTTCAATTACGTAGCTTAGTTCATTGGTAATAATAGATTTTGATTTTTTATGTTAAAAATTATGATAAACTATTCATGTATTATTGCTCCTCGTGAATTCCATCCATAGAGATCATTGATTTTATATCCAATTCACAAGTTCAGCAAATTTTTCGTCTTCATTTACATATACTGATATCATAAAATATTCAAAGACTATTGTTGACACACGATTTTGTCTATTTTTTGCAAATTTATTCAACGTATTTTTCTTTCATGTTGTAATCTGAAAAACAACTTTGTCAATACATTCAACAGTGATAGACAAACTCATACTGAGGTACTCGTTTCAGGACAATTTTCGAGAGTCTAGTGTTAAAAAGAGAGAAAAAAGGTTTATTAAAATAATAAAAATAGTTTTTCATTAATAATTGTAAACTCTTATGAGTAAAAAACGAATATTTTTAAAGATAGAAAAATACTCTGCTTGTTTAAGTAAAACCAGTCATATTCTCAGATGATTTCTATATTTTTATAGTCAGTTTTCTGTTTACTAGTTGTATCATGTTTATTTCATCCCAACTGATATTGCATCAAACATTTCCCTATATAAATTAGAATAATCTACTTTATTTCTCGTCTTCTAATAGAGTTCATTCATAAAGTGGATTTTTTTTCTTCTATTGAAATGCTGTCGATGCTGATGCTTTCTATGACAGATCCGTTTATGTACTAGTTCGTTTTAGTATTAAATGAGCAAGTAATTTATTTCAAGAATTGTTTACATTATTACAAATGAAATAGCCAATATCTTCACTTTTTGTTAAAAGAAACTCAAATACTTCGTTATTGCACAATATAAAAATAAATAAACATCAATAACATCGACATTTCTCAAACCAATCGAAAAAAGCGACAGAGAAAATGGTAGAATAAAAAAGTTTAATCACGTTTCACTGTTTTGTTTTCTTTCTGTTTTTTGAATCTTTATTTAAGAAACGATCTTTTCAGCTGCTTTATTCGTTTTGCTACGATAAGAAAAGAATGGGTGCAAGTGAAAGTGCCGTCATTAATGTCAATTTCAATAGATCAAATGCATTCTATTATGCCGGCGAAAAATTAACCGGAAATGTATCATTTCAAAATATACAAAATAAACTCAAAATTGAAGAAATTCTTCTCGAACTAATTGGCGAACTTGGCTATCCAACACAACAGATTCGATGGCGTCGCGATACGAAAGGGCGTTCACATAAAGAACCGTACACTGATTGTCATCGTGTAACATTTCTAAAAGTTCCCGTCTCAATAGTGCGATCCGTTCATAGACAGGTAAGAACCGTTAAATGTTCTAGTTCGTCAACAGAATTCATTATCATTCATGTTATTACTATAGAAGAAATTGACTCTTCGTGAGAGTTCATATTCAATACCATTTGAACTTTCGTTACCTGATTGTTTACCTCCGACTTTAATTTCGTCTTCACCTGAACATCCCTATGTGAAATACTACACTCGTCTCACGTTTGACAAACCATGGTCTTCATTGGATACTATACCAACTTATTCTCTTATAATATGTCCACGTGTTCACCTGTTTCACATGGGAAATGCCGACGCACCAGTAGAATTTACTAATCACAATCGTAAAAAGATTCAATTAAACGGTTCTATTCTTCGTGGTGGTATCCTGCCAGGCCAAAATCTGTCGATTCAACTCGATCTGACAAACCCAAAACAGCATCAAATTAAAAGAATAGAAGCAACATTCATTCAACATCGGCAAATTGCCAACATTCGGGATCAACAAATTATATTTAATTGCAATTTACCAGGTATATATCAATTTCAAGAGCCAATCTTAAAACAGGTATTTGATTTAAGTCTCCCCACTACATATTTACCACCGACTTATGAATTCACTACAACACATAATAATTCTTCGTTTGGTATTTTCATTCATTATGAACTTATACTAGCTGTGAAAACGGTCGGTATTTTCTCTGATTTTCAAGTTAGCGTTCCAGTCATGGTTGGTACAGAGTCCTTGTCGGACAGACCACAACAGCAACAATTTAGTGATCAGTTTTCAAAATCTGCCATGGTTGAATCTATTTTAGATCAAAATGGTTCGCCACCAAGTTATGAAATGGCAATGCGAAACGAACTTAAATAATTTTTTATATATGAAATAAAGATGCTTTTGTTTGCCTCATTGAAGATATGAAATTGACCCGTTTAAAACTGTCCACACATAGCAGAAAAGTCTTTTTTTTTCATTTCATGTCAGAAATTGAACAGATTAAATAGGTTTAACGATTTTCTATAAACTGAGAGTTACCTACCTGTTTTCAATAGAACAATCTTCTTATTCTACTCTAATACAATCTCGACATTCTACTGATATTTTGATTGTGACGTCTATAGAAAGTGAATAGATTGAGTTTGAATACACAATATGAATATGAAAGATAAAATATTTACAAAATTTTCTATTCAAAGTCTTGGGTGGTTCTCAATAACTGAATCGATTTTTATAGAAGACTCAATAGAGAAAGGTTTAAAAGGACAAAATGAAACTGTAAACATAACATAAGATAGAATGTTCTTCAGTTAAGTCAATCGTGGTGCACTTTGAATTTACGAGAATATTTAGTGTACAGAAAGAAAGAGAACTACGGTTTTTGATTTTATACGTCAGTTGACTATTTTGATATAATATGCATCTAGCAAAGAGCAATAACACGGTTGTTTTGCATGCACTATAGTTATATGTCAAATTTTATATTGAATATAAATTTTGTTTTCTTCTCAAAACGTCTTCGAATTAAATACAACGAAGTCTGTGTTTACAGGTTGTATACAGCGTTTTTATTGAAGCTATAAATGTTTTACTAATCACATTTATTAATATTGATAACAGTACCATCGAATTAAGTAGTTGCATATAATATTCATTATCATCCTAACCTACCACCTTGAGTAATTTAAAGCATTAAGACCTGTTGTTGATATATACTTGAACGTATCTGTACATTAGTATTCAAATCAACATATTGTCTGCTAATTTGCTCTGCTAAATATGCTTAACAATCATGATCATATCCTTTCACACAATTTATACTATTCAATCACATTGCCTGAAATGAAAATTAACTGCATAGACAAATTCAAAAACGAATCAATGATGGCTTCTTGTGGATATTGTCACGGACTGCTATTAAAAGAATCCACAACTACATCCAACAATGTATCTCCTGGAAAATATGTTTCTGCTTGTCATTCAGTAGAATGTATTCGATAAAGTGTTATCGAAAAAAACTACTCAGGCAGTCGGGATCAGGCAATGGGGTTCACTGTAGACAACACTTATAGCGTGGCAAGCGATGATAGTGAAAATATTTATTATCATATAGGCACGGGATCTAAGAGCAGTGTGCTGTATTCTATATACTATTCAAGCTCAAGCTGTTCATTTCTAGATTTGATACCATTGGATAGTACCACTTGTGGTAAATAAATAAATAAACTGAACCACGTGCGAACGTTTTCGATCGAACCTTTGGTGGAATAGGTTCTATGGTGAATTCATGGCCTTGACTGACTATTAAAAAATAACTATATTTAGTCTACCGTTTTCTCCTTCCTCTACGTAGATGATTTTTTTATCCAGAGAAAAAATATGAAAATACTAATCTATGTTACGGTATATATACAGTGGTATTTTTTATTCATGCAATTAGCTGAAGTAATATTGTTCACTACGTGAGCACGACAAATTCAACAACTAGTCTTAAACCTAATAGATAGAATTGATAAGTGCAAGATCCGATGATTAAATAAAGTTTCGTTTGAAAAAAAAAACAGAAAAATAGTTCAGAATGCTTTATTTGAATTGCAAAATAAATAGCCGTAAAACTACTTTAAACAGAAGTGCGATTCTATTGAGATATGTTGCTTGAACATGTACTATTTTCTAATTAAAAACGTAAACGTTTACTGTACTTTATTCTCACTTCTTTTAAGAAATATTTATGGTCGAGTCAGTTATATGTATTAGTTAAAATTTTTATTGATAGCTAAAGAATATTTTGGTTAATTATGGTTTATTTGATCCAGAAGTTTTATCACAAGTGATTGATTATTACTGGCTAGCTCAACATATATTCACAGAATTATTCAACAATATCATTAACTTTATTGTTGAGATCAAACTACGTAGCTCACATTCGAATCAAGCTCTTAAATAGTTTTAAACAATTTTGAATAAAAATAGCGTTTATTGAGAAACTTGAGTTTACATTCTGTGGCTTACTATATTCTTTCTATTCAATGCAATTTATGTATTTTTGTGCTTCTCACGATAGTAACTATTTTCTTCATACAGTTCAGTGTCTAATCACAATTTTCTTGATAATTAAGAGAGTTTGTAGAGTGTTCTGTTGATTCATTATAATAATAGAACTACATTGTAGCTGATAAATTTGTGTTCAGATTTTTCCCATAATAAGACTAATACATAGCTTCAAGGAATATTGATAATATTCATATAGAAACAGTAGCAAATAAACAACTATGTGTTAATTAAATAGACCAATAAGAATGACTGAAGTAATTAGAAATGAACCTTACTAAGTAGCATAGCTGATTTTCTTGTATACTTAAGAAAAAAAAGTATATATCCTACGCTTTCTCATTTCTTAAGTGATATTAAGTACTATTGAAGGGATTAAACCGATTGTATTATAATTCTTAGCAGTAATAAGCATTTTTCATGTTCAGAAAGTGATTTATGATAGTAAAATAAAAAAATTTTTAGAAAAATTTTCTTCTCATTAGTTGAATCGTTTTTTTTAAATCTATTTTATCAACAAATTGCCAATTCTTCCCAATTTCTTCTTCACACGGATTGCCAATAATAATCTATTCAAACAAGCGTTGTTTATCATACGTATTTGACATCATATTCCGTCAGTCTAAAACTAAACATAGCATTTTTTAAACAATTATTGTTGTTACTAAATCAATTACTCAATGTTGTTCACGTAGTTGTTCTTGTTATTATTTTCCTGAGAGAAAATACTTAGCATCAATAATGATGATGTCTGAAGGAGCTTTCAAACATTGGTCATTTATTTCTTGAAGCCTAGCGAGTTTTATTTAATTTAATAAGAATCAAGTGAAAGTAATGTATTTTTACATATATCGATGATAGAAATCATCTAGTTTAATCAAATACAGAAATAGTTCTCGTTGCCATTTGTTGTTCCTAGTACATGGTCGTGTCAATGGTCATCGTGTGATGCGACAATATAATGCATGGAGAAAAAGTCATTTTGAATCCAGAATAATTTATTTATTGCAAGCAAAGTTGTTTTCTTCGTTGTATCGTCAAGTTCCTCACTACTTAGGATAATTTCAATGAAAGTATGTTGAAGATAGCCAAGCATAGCATTGATATGTATATAGTCGATATCAATTGAGTGTACACCTGCAAGATTCGTATGCTTTTTACCGATAGTCGATAAGTACTGAAGAAATGCATCGTTCCATATGTGTTGTCGTAAGATGCGAGCCAAATATTTTCGAATGCTCTCTACACGGAACAGCATTTGATCGGATTGTAACGTCAGTTGATTGTTGTCAGTTGTCTTGACGCCTTTAAAAATAAAATTTTGCTTAATAAAGTATTCTTTGGTTATGTCATATTCAAATAACTTTTGATAAATAACTTCGACCAATGTTTGAATGTGTGGATGAGCGATTTTTTCAAAATTATTGAGTAACGCTATGTCATCCGCAGTAAAATTGAGAAACTTTGCAATATAGTCAAAACGGTATCGAATATTAGTATTTAATAGACGTTTTTCAACATGATTGGCCATAGTACTGTGTGAGAATAGAAAGTATTTGTGTGTTCTGCTTTACTAGTGACCGTGATACAAAATGATGTTACGTGAGAAATATTTTCTTTTTGCTTTAGCTGTCATACACATTTTTCTTCTCTTGCTTTGAAGTGAATTCAGGCAACAATGAACAGATCATGAATTCCACTAGAGAATTGCTGCATTGTCTGTTGAGAAAGAAAAAAAGAAAGCAAGAGAATGATAATATTATTTCTCGCCACTCTTGTATGGCTAGTCTTCTTGAGTCTACTACTGTCTATCTGCACATAATTTTATAAACAAAAGCATATGCCGATGTTGTTTTATAATGCTCAAGATCTAGAAAGAAAGAAAGTTTCGGCAAAAAATATGTTGAGACTGTTCTTGAAAATGTGCTGAAACTGCTTTCTCCAGACAAGCTCAGTCGCTATCTGTGAGTGAAACAAATATGAATGTCTATTGCAAAATACGAACTAGGTCACGGAACAAGAACAATTACTGTATACATAGAATTTTGTTTTTACTAGCGTCTTATTACATCTTATCAAATTCATTATTTATTTCTACTGATAGCTACGGAAAGTTGTCGCTCGATGAAGAAATATAGATGAAGTAGTTAATTGTTTTATTCTAGACTGTAATACTCACATAAAAGATTCTATTTTATCAAAAGAACTTAACGTAAGAATAAGTACATTACAGATTTTCCCGAGTTCAATATATATATACCATCTTTATTTATCTTCTATTTGAAAGAATAGCTTTCACACGAGCCGTAAAACTTTTATGTAAACATCATTTTCTTAATTTTCCTCTTCTACGCATTGCTATTGTTTTACGTAGGCATTCACCATGGTCAGCCTGAGAAACTAATTCAGTTGTTTTGAAGTAGAATATTGAGCTACTTTGTTACGAGACATTGAATTAGTCATTATGCTATATTTACTTTACTTAAATGCTCATTCACACTTTTTATATAGAAATTCCCTACACATAATACCTCAGAGACAATCGAATCAGATCTTCTGAAGTTTAACATCTGATAAATATAATAGACAAGAGCATAAAGATAATCGTGTTTGCCTAATTTCTTTGATTCATTTATCGGCACTCTCGTATATTGAAGTCAAACATATTGAATGTTTCAACTAATGAAATCTGCATTGATGACGCGCATGATATGTCTGGTTGCAGCCTTGAGATGCACTAAAGTGGCCATACAACTCTCTTCAGTGCTCTGAATCTTTTTTTTTATAGAAAAGAGAGTCGATCGCGTGAGATTGAATGCTCTATCAAACTATTACTAACGATAAATAAAATGTTGAATAATCAAAAGAAACTCAAATGGCAAATAACATTCGATGCGGAAGTAATTGACTATATATTGACTAACATTTCTGTTTGATACAAGATGTTTGAAAGAAGAAATCCTTTTTAATAATAACACAGAAATTTTCCTTATGCTAATATTCTTTAACTTACTTGTATGTAGCACTCAAAGTGAAGAGTGTACTGAGATAACAAAAAGAAGTGATCATAAAATTCAAATAAAGATTTTTTATGTAGATAATTAATTCATTTTTTGAAAAATTGATGAATTCTATCGAGACAAAACAGTAGTAATTATATGCAATATTCAACCTCTATTATGCATTGTTGAGGAATACATCATAAATTTAAGTAATTATTTTTTTCTTGTGCTACTTTATTTAAATATTTCAGGCGAAAAAATAATTATATACATTTTGAAAACATGTAAAAGAGTTTTTCAATTTGATGCTGTTGTTCGACATTGACTGAGAAGAAAAGAATGCTACTAATAAGGATACTGCTTTTTTTGTTGTTGCATCCATCATATCGTTAATTAGAAAATGATATAATTTATTTATTTACAATTAGGAAAACAACAATCTATCATTTATTTAAAAAAAAGTAGTTCAGCATTTTCCTACCGAAGAAAAAAAAAACAAGCTGACATTTTCTTCGCCTCCTACAGATAATTTATTAATTAACACAGTTGCCAAGTTTTACAGCAAAAGTAACTTGAACTCTATTTCACTGTCCCATTCGGCCTAAAGTCTGTTAATATGAACAAGAACTAATTTTACTTTTTGATGTTAGTATCTAAATAACAATTATCTTGAAACGTTCACTCTAACTATATTTCAACAAAAAAAGTTATTTTACAAAAAACAATACGTTTCTCTTGTAATCCATTGCGTTTTATGCTTATCACGAACCAATGTTTTTATGATCGATGATCTTCAATAATAATTATTTCTATTTGCTATATATCATCTTCCAGAATAAGTCGAACTTTGCGTATCTAGAACATTGATTGCTATCGAAAGTAAAAATACTACTTTGCAGCTCTTCATTAGACAGTTTGGACGTGTGTGCATTTGAAATTTTATTTAATACTTTTGTAGTTGTGACTGAATGACAACGGGGATAGATGCATATTAGAAGTTGCAAGAATTCATTCTGAAAATAAGACTCATATTTTATTCCAGATGAATAGCTTGAATCAAATATCTAAACAAAACTAATCGCTGATCTGATCCTAAAGGATTTTGTTGAATATTGGAATTCTCGTTCTACTTTGAGTGGTCGTAGAAATGCATCATAATCCAGTAGGCTTACAAATATTTATACCAAAATATTGGTTCTTGAATTTAAATGTTAATAATAATGTTGATTTGGAGATACTATTGCAAATTTTACTTTTAAAAGGACAAATACATTTTGTTTTCTTCAAGCTTTATTTTATATGTATACCTTCGAAATTAACTATTAATATAATATTAGATAAAAAAAAGAATTTTTTTTCTCAATTCTAAATGAGATATCGAGACCGAATAAAAAAAAAAGAAATATTTGTTAAAAAAACGATTTCAATAAAATCTTTTACATTAATCAACCTTTTTTCTAAACAATGCTTAAGGGAAGCAAAGTATAAAACCAAAATATACTGTTTTGGCGCAATCCTAATTACTATTTATTCACATTTACATTTTACTATAGACGTAATATATTGGTAAATATGCTCTTTGTGTTTGATCGTTAAACAATGGTTGATGGAAGATTTACTAATAAAGACCAATATGACAATGAGCTAAATGCAAGTCAAAATATTTCATGTGTCTGAAAATGTTTTGCTGTTCAGAATGTAATAGTGAAAGATTTATTCAAAATTCTGCTTTAATACAAACATTCTTTATATCGAAGAGCAATCGATCAAAGAATGAGTTGATTTTGATTCTAATATGGCAGCCATCCTCTAGAACAGAGAAAGATCACAAATGCTTTCCGTTGAAAGTATATTTAAGACTGCCAGACATAAATATCTAGATATTGTTGTCAATAGTATTGTCGGAAGTAGGTGGGTCTATTATTTTCCCGAACTATAATAGGTCACGTCATCACTTGAATGTCAAGAAGAATAGTTCGGGTTACAAGGATCAACCACGTAGACTATTGAATATCGCATGTTCGTAAAAGCGAATTACTTGACATCTGTCTTTTTATTCTAGTTCTTATGTAGGTCTTTGTTAAAACTTGATTTCACCTCTGACTCAGATCATTATTTTACCTAAAAAAAATATGAAAGGCTTTTTTTTTAGTGACTAATTTTTACGATTTTTCGAACATCTATAAAATTAGTAGTATGAATCAGTCTTGACGACAGTACATCAGAACTATGAGTATATAAAAGCGACAGTTTGTGTTCTTTCAATTTTCCTTTGGTTCTCTCCGTTTAATTCACAAAATACTCTCTGAGTTCATAGTTCTTACATTGATACAAGATGTAAATGACTGACCGTAAGTTAGCATTTGCTCAATAACCATTTGAATTATATCAAAATTTAACATCGATAGATCGAAGGCTTTATTTTTTCATTGAAAATCACTATCATAGTTTCAAGATCGAGAAACAAAACAATTTGCAGATCTATACTGTTATAGAAACAATAAAAAGAATCTATATTAGATTTGAATTCAGAAAAAAACAATAAATATGCAAATGTGTAGAAAAGTCTTGAAGTGTTAGCCACAGTTTCTTTCTCACATAAGCTCTCCTTCTAAATTCAAAATAAAATACAACAATATGGAATAGTTTTTTTTAATCTTTAAGATCATATTTAGAGCATCAAACGTTTTTGGAAGTACTCCAAAAAAAAATTGAAGTGCTTAAACTTTAAGGTTATCTCATATAATTCAGAGGCGAGAAGCTTGCCAATAAACACAATATCATTGAAATAAATTGTATAATGAGACGAAATATAGCTTGGATTCCTCATATTGCTCTTATGCGAGAAGCAAAGGGTGTGGGTGTTGACATCGAAAACATCCAACTCCTACACCCATCCACTCACACGTCTCTGATGTGCATATGCATTTTTTGTTTTTCTTTTTGACGAAGGATGTTCATATTTCCAACAAAAATCAATTTCCGAAATTACCATGATTTCCAAAAACACATATACTGAAAGAAAAGTATTTTCGGACATTTTAAGAGGTACAGTTTTGGAAATTTCAGAAACTACCCAATTCTTCGAACTGAAAGAGATTTTGGCAGTAACACTTCCGATATTTTCTTTGTTGGAAATAAGAACACTGCTATGAATCATCGAGAAAAGAGAAATATATTATAAACGTCCATATATATAATAAATTAGGCATACTTCAAAATAATCATCAAAAAAAGAGAAACACTTCTCTATGGGCAAATTAGATTGCATTGATATTGTATTTTTTCGTCCAACGATGTCAAGCGTTTTATTCTCCAATGGGGAGAATATTAATAAAGAAAAGAATCAATATATATATATATATCGTATTGAGAAAAGCGGTGTAATTTCAGTCAACGATGACACTACATAATGTTCATTTTCTTGATTTACCTAATGCAATATTGCTTCTCATTTTGAAAAAACTTGACAATATGGACGTTCTCTACTCTTTGTTGGGGATCAACAATCAACGATTAGACAATATAGTACAAAAGACAACTTTTACTACTATTTTAAATTTTGAGTCGATATCAGCAAATGATGATTTTTGTTCAATTTCTGGTCAAATACTTAATCGATTCTACTTCGATATATTACCAAGAATTCATTGCAATGTGAAATGTCTCATTCTGGAATCAAATTCTATGGAGCATATTCTTATCGTTGGCAGCTATCCTAATCTTATTAACTTTAAACTTTTCAATTTCAATAAAGAAATATTTTCACGTTATTTTATAGGTAAGAAATTCAAGTTTAGTAATCTGTTCAAAAATGGACATGCAAAAATCTTGAAAAGCAAAGATTATATAGTATCTATGATTTTGTTTAAATGATTCTCTCTTTCTACATATTTGTAAACAACAAATTACAGATCTTATTCTTATCAGCAATGAAAATAACAGCGAAATAACATTAACAGACTATACGATGAATGTTTATCCAATTATCTTGTCTGTCTCTAAAAGTCTCCATCATCTGTCTATTTTATCATCATCCATTAACGGTTATCCACCTTTGTCACTACATAATTTGCCATCAACAATTTTTTTCTCTTCGACACTTACTAAGTTATGCATTAATGTGAATGATTTTAATGATTGTCTTGCTTTACTTGATGGTCGTCTAAAACAATTAACTACATTCATCGTTCAAATAAAATATATCGAAAATGTATCATTGCAGTCGTACGACATGGTGAGTTTATCCTAGATGGTGCTATGGTTTTCCACACATTAGTGTCTAGTATCGATAAAAAAATAAAGTTAATTTGGAATTCANTTATCTTTTATATTAATTTGAACTTATTTTAAAATCTTTGAAGAAAAACGAAATGATGGATTTTAATGAGAAATCAAATATATTTATGTAAAGCTGTTTTCCAAAGAACTACTTCAATAGAACACGTTTTTTTTTGTTTTAACACACATTAACAAATACTGGTCGAATGAGTGTGTTTAGTCATTAGAGTTTTATTAGCTTTCAGCATAAATATTTAGTGTAATGGATGTATAGAAAATGTTATCTAAGGTTTTGAAACATGTTGAGAAAATTGATTTTTATATGATATTCTATGAATTTTTGAACTATTCATCAGTCTTTATGCATTAGAACTTTAGAAATACAAAGTAATTGCCTTAAATCTGACCAGTAGAGGACACATACTTCATAGAATTCAAGACACATTTAAGCTCCCGTCCCCGTCAAAATAGAATCTCTAAGCCAGAACGTCCTATTAGGCTAAACTTTGTAAATATGTGGGGACTGAATATATACATACATACACAAACAAATTTTCAGTCTTATATCTCTTTCTTAACATAAATTAGGTTAATTTTAGTAGCCATTTTGGTTTTCTCCGGATCTCCAACGCCGTTAAACTACCTGAAGACAGCTGATTTTATTTTTGTTTTGTTTTAAGAGGACACCACAATCTGGCGACTATCGTCGTCCTTTTTTTGATTTTCTACTTTTTTTATTCATCTGTCAGATCAAGATCTTTAGAAAACTTGCAAATCCCTAGGAAATAGCAGATTTTCTTTGCTTCAGTCTTTTTTTAAAAAAAGGGCCACAGTCGCTAGCGATGAGTTTATTTGTTCACAAGAAAAAAACGTTTTCGCGTAACTCGTGTTATAAAAGAATAGCGTGGGAGATTCGGAAATTCTTGACTCTTGAACCGACATAATTAGTAAAAATTGTCATTTATCGGAGTTCTAAATAGGAACCCAGCTCAAGTGTTAGATGGCTTGAGGGAAGCCATGATCTATCTACCCACAAAGTTTCAGTTCACTTGTATGTGGAATATAAGAAACTACATCATACACCATTATACATATACCAAAATTGCTGATCTCGGTTTTTTTTATTTTTGATGGGGAGCGGACGTGTGTGTGTTTAAGAACAGATTTAAAAAGTAAGGGACATCTTCGAATTAATTTTCCGTATTGAATTTCAACCTTAGTTCAATCGATTAAGATGTACTAATAGATATTTTTTTCTATTTTCTAGGATGATCTACCTGATTTGAAATCTTTCTCATTAATATGTTATAGTAAAATTTCTGAACCTGACAATCTAGTTGTGCGACTTCTTCGTCGTATGCCACATCTCGAAGAATTAACTCTATATCTTCGTATCAAGAATCGACTAGATTCGTCGATGGCACTCATATTTATAATGAAATTCTTAGTCATATGACACGACTTCGTACATTTACTTTTTATGTTAGTACTGAAAATTATGTCCATGATTCAACTCTTCGCCTGTCTAATAATGATATCCAAGAAACTTTTAAAAATATGGAAAATCAACAAGTCAATTGTATTGTAGACTTTGTTGACGATGTCTATGTCTTATGCAAGGTCTTCTCACTTCCATTTAGATTAGATCATTTCGAATGGATTACGAATACTTTTTCGACAATGATATTCAATTCTGTAACTTATTTGATGTTGTTTGATAGAGTTTCATTCAAACATGAATTCTTCGTTCGGGTTGCTCGAGCTTTTCCATTACTTAAATATTTATCTGTTCACAATGGCAAAGCACCATTTTGGAGATTCCCGAAGCCTCATCCTGTCGACAACTATTCACCAATTGCAGAATATCTTCATCTTATTTCACTACACTTTGGTTTTGTCAGTAATTGTTATGTTGATCAATTTCTCAATGAAACAAAAACAAATTTACCTCGTCTAATCGAATTAAAAATCAATTATAGACAATTAAAAAGTGCGACAGAGAATTTTACAAGAAATGAAACGCGACGCAATTATGCTATGGTGAAACGATTAATTGTCGCAAATTCAATAGTTTTTTCAGAAGATGTTTATCGCTATTTTCCTTCATCGTAAATTCGATTTTGTTCTGATATTGTTTGAATAGAAATCTATCTCATTTTCTTTTTTATGAAAGTAGATAGAATGTCAAAAATAAATTTTCCGTGGTTGAGAATTGTGTTATGTAACATACTTTCACTAAAAATCTATTTGTATTATTTTACTGATTTATATTCGTAAGTAAATTTCCATGGTTCAATGAGATTTGTAATGATATAGTTTCAAGCATAATGCATTTGTTTCGTTCTGTTAATTTCGTTAAATAGCCAGTACCGGAAATGATCAGATTTTCATATAACGATATCTAGCTTTCAGATAGACAAGCAGCTACTGCGATTATAATTTATTGATCTACTTACAGTGACGTCGATTAAATATGAATTGATTAAATAGAACCATTCGATTCTTACGATTTTCTACTAAAACAAAACAATCGAATAGTGTTCATAAGATTTATGTTCGACATCAGTAATTTTGTTGGCAATTAAGTGTGCCAATTATTAAACAGATGAACACATTATAATAAGAAATATATCAAATGAAAACTAGAGTATATCTTGCGTTGATTGACTTACAAACTATAAAATTTTTTGCATATAGAACCCAACCCGTACTAATCTCATACCTTTTTTAAATTGCGTCAATCTTGCCTTGAGCACATACCTCTTTGTACATAAAGGCAATCTTTTTTTTTCATATAAATTATTCACCAGTCGTGCATTTTATGAAAAGAAACACATTTTTCGTGAATATTTCTCTAATCTTCTGCAAAAATATATTCTATTAATTTTATATATAAATGAGGAATATTTGTTAGGTTACTTTCAATTTATCTTATATCTTGCTAAATATTGATCCTAAAATGTGTAGTAAAATTCATTTGTAAAATTTAGCAAAATGTAAATATTTCTTTACTCTTCCACTTGCCAATGTTAATATATTTTGTTTTATTAGAACAATCTGCTTAATCTCTTAGTAAATCTGTAATTAAGAATTGCTGTATACTTCATTGTTAATTCTCTCTTTTCATTAATTATTTTCCTTACTCTTTATAGTAATCTTCGCCGATTTAAGTTTTCATTTCTCTTCCAATCGATAATTACTCCAAAATCATGACCGAAATTGCTTCAATGTTCAAATAAAACAAACATCTTATACATATATTTAACTGTAATCATGTATATATTTCTAAATAGACATACTGATTCAGACAATTACTCATAAACAGACCATTATTACGTCTTTCATTTCACCTGAGGTTAAGTGTCATATGATCAAACATAAAAGGTAAGTTTGATTTTGAAAGCTAAAACCTCTTGAAATAATTTATTTCTGTTTACATCAAGCATTCCATGTCGATCGTTCTGGCCGCTGGTTTCTGCAAGAGCTAATCGCGCATTGTTGCCCTGAGGTGTTACGATCCGGTTGTTCTCGATTGAGAAGGGGGAGAATGAAAGCCTTGAAACCCCATAAGGGTTTTCTAGGATCCGGCGTTTGCTAGACAGAGCTTTCTAATTGATTTATTACATTGAGTAGGCAGAGCAGTGTGAGAAACCCTATGTTTGACCTTTTCAACAAACGGTTCGTGGAGAACCTGGTTTGCACGGAACCTAAAATGATTTCGAATTCGCAGCAATTTTCGGAACCCTTTTTACGCTTCGTATGGTTGTCATTTTTCGGGGTAGAATTATAGTTGCGTGACTGCGTAAAAATATTCAATAATGGATATTTATGAAGAAATGGCTTATAATTACCCTGTATCATTTTATATAATCATACGTAAGATCGTACTGTTAAATCATATACGAAATCGAATGTAAGATCTGACATCAGATGTCAGCGACGACGGTGTTTCGTATGATTTTCCGTATGATCTTGTATGATCATATACGATTCTTGACTAAGATCGGATATGATCATACAAGAATTCATACCTGATCTTAGTGTCAGTTTGTTCGACCTGGGAAGTGAACGATGGTGAAATAACATTCTGATCGTACGGTTTGGTAGTTGTCCGCATTAATTTAAACCAAGCAAATGACTAAATAAGCATATCTACGAGTAGATAGAGACTGCTTCATAAGATATCTCGATGTAGAAGAACTAAATTGAAATGATGAACGGCACTAATGAATGGTTTTGTGAAACGATCTATCACTCACTTAATGGAATGTCTGGGTCTAATACTTTCCTTAGGATATGGCTTTTACGTTCTTGTTATTTTTGACTAGAATACCAAATATATATATTATTCTTTTTGTTTTTGCTTTGAGAACTAATTTTATAAGAACTAACGAATATAACAATGTCTGTAGAACAAGAAATTTTATTTAAAGGCAAAAGAAAATATATAACGTGTCAGTTGAAGATACAAATTGAAATGAATTGATTCCTTTTTTCTTTTTCTTTTTCTTTTTCTTTTTCTATAAAAGGTACTAAATCATTTTTACATTTTAATTTAAATTTAAAAGCAAACTGAAGTTTTAAAGCTAGTCTCACTTCATTGTATTGCTTCGGAGTGTACATTTCGTGACTCTTACCAGAAATGACCGATGTATCGTCAAAAAACTTCAGGGTGCGGGTGTGGGTGTGTGGATGTGACTGTATTTTTAACTCAACCACACCTATACGCATGTAATATTAATTAAAAATGAAGCTGATACACGAAAAAATTAATTAAAAATTTTTCTACCCACAGTGGTATCATATATTTTTGCAAGTTACCGAAAAGATGTAGTCATTTTAATGTTATAAAAACAAAGATTTTATTTCGATTTATTCTTTATTATAAAGCAAAAACAAATAAAGTGAGACCCATATGCAGAAAAATTCTTTCTTTTTCATTCTTTTATTTCCCACTGATGTGTTTATACAAAGCAGAAAATGGATAGAGAATCATTGATTCAGCCAATGCTGATTTCTGATTATTTTCTTCTAACTAAAATAAAATATATATACAGCTGATTGAGAGCGACAGAACGCAAAAGAAAGTGATTTTTTATTTTTCTCTAGCTGTTAGCTCTCGTTTTGGAGATTATGTAGCAATAGTAGAACTAATATTTAACCTCCTGAATCCCGAGAATTCTTGCGTTCTATTCGAAGCTAGTGTTAGCGTCAGTAGATGACCCTCACTGGCGCTAAACGTTTCTCGTATGTTATCTATTTTTTGAATCTCTAATTTGATTTGTTACGTAATCTCTCAACTAGGATTTATCTCGTGATTATCCTTTTGTATTTCGTTATCGCGCAGTTGTTGATGTTCTATCGTATCGAATACTCGATACTCAATATATTCTATATATGACACGACGACAAAGTCTATTATTGAAAACATGTTTAGCTCTCTATTTTTGGCAGATTAACCTCTTGAATACCGAGTATGCGAAACGCATATTCACAGAACGAAAAAAAAAATTTTTGAATTCTGTCGTATCGTGAACAGTTGTTAAATACATATAATGAATAGAGGATGGTTCATTCGAGAAATGGCGATATGCAAGGCACATATGTAGAAAAAAAAATTCTTTCATTCTTTTTGTCTTCAGCCAGAAGATAGCGGCCCTCAGGAGGAATTGACCTTGGCTCATATTGCTTTTTTTGTGTATATGTGTATGAAATCATAAAAAAAATTCACTTTTTTTCAAACTTTTCGTTAACAGTCTCAAAAATACACCTATCAACATTAGTATATTCAAGACATGACAACTGCAGCGATAAATTCCAAACAATGTTTTATATGTAAAAAAGAAAAATCCAACTTATACCGATGTGAAGGCTGCTCAGAAAAATTTTGTTCACAAGATTTACCAAAACATCATCAGGAACATGTATTAGAACTAGAAAAAATTGTCACTGATTGTGATACATTCCAGCAAAGTATTAGTGAGCAACAGCAAGATCTCAAACATCGTCCATTAATAAATCAAGTGAATGAATGGGAACGCGTTTCAATCATAAAAATTAAGCAAACAGCAGAAGACTGCCGACAAAGATTAATTAAATCGGCAGGTGATAATATCGTTGAAATAAAGAAGAAATTAAATCAATTCATTACTGACTTGAGAAAAATACGTGACGATGATGATTTCAATGAAATTCATTTAAACAATTTGAAGATGTTGTTAGAAGAATTGAAGAAAAAACTTGAGCAACCACTGAATGTTTCCATTTTGGAAGGACGTATATCGTTTATAAACAAAATACCAATTATAACCAAAGCTTCACTTTCAGGTTAGTTTGACAATTAAATCTGATTTAAGAAAAGAGCCTACGAATGGCAGATGATAGTAAAGTTGGCACGATGCTCGAATATTTTCAGTCCCGATTCATCCTCTGATCTGTGTGATGGGTGTTCCACAGATTACGTGAGACAGAAAACTTCATCCTCTATTCAATGGTAAAAATTTCGATGGGGATCATCGAGCAAAAATATGGGCTCGATGCATATCTGGGTATGATAATCAGTGACGGTTTGTGGTGACAATAGATACGGCGCAATACTTTTTGGGAACATTGCTTCTTCATTCATCACAGGAAAAACGCTCACCGATCGGTGGTTGTGTGCATGTGAACTTTCATTTAACGCCCACACCATCTGATATAGAAATATAAAGAGGTATTTTTTATTTATAAACTGACAACGATCTATGTATTGTGAACGAGTTAGCAAATTGATTAATAACAGTTGAAATAATACATGATGAGAGAAAAAGATCGAAGCTATATCGAGAAGAGAGAGGACAGAAAATATCTTAAATTGGAGAAAAAGCAGAGAAACTGCGAAGATATCTATATTTATATTTCATAACTAATCTATTGATCAGTCAAATATATTAGATCCATCTGAATAATTTGTTTTATCATAGTAATGTTTTCAGGTGCGATGACAAACTTATTCATTGATAAATGTTATTTGATGATATCCAAAGTATCTATTATAGGATGATCAAGTTTTTCAGTGAATATTGAAACTAGAAAGAATAGTATTCATCTTGTAGAATGTTTCAACAAAATCTTGAATATTGATTTTCTATAAACACACCTCGATGTGAATAATTCTTTATTATCAATGTCAATATCTTAAATATTTCAATCGTTTTATGACAGGAGCAGCCCATATCAGAAACTTGTAGAATTTGAAACCGAGAGAACTATTTGGACTTCTATGTGACCGATCTAATTATTTCTGAATACAAACTCATCCATTTTAAGTATAAAAATATTTGAGTTTAAGCGCAGGAACACTTTTGAAAATCCAGTTACAATATAAATTGGATAGTCATAAGGGGTTCGGAGTGAAAATATAAGTATAGGAATTAACACATAGTTCGTAAGACATTTTCATCATACTATAAAAACATGACTTTCATTTGTTTTGTAATCGTTATATATTGCATATCTCTTTTAAATCAAATATTGAACTAGAATTCTAAAAGACAAAAATGTATTCATCTAAATATCTAACACGTTGAATTAAGTAACTACAATAGATATATCATTTCAATGGTGAGAAACACTTCTTTTCTTCCCATATGATCAAATATTTTCTTCTGTACTATTATTTTTTGGTAGTAAATCAAAGTCTATTTGATAAAGACTTAACAGATTCGTAAGATTTTCTATAAATATTATTTCATTTTCCTTTGCTAATTTGAATTTAGAAAGAATTTCAGAAAATTTGTGAATTCTAAATGATTTTTATTTGAAGACGAGATTTTTTGACTCAATTATTACTAAGATGATCAGAGCGCGAAAAATGAATTATACTTACAATTAATTTACTTATGATGGCTGATCAATATACATTGTCCATATTACTCTTTAAATCCATATCACTTGCTTATGATTTCTGAATGATGTTTGAAATGTTTCTTATTATTTATGATTGATTAGGAAAAAAAACATTGGTCGCATATATTTTCTCTCATTCGTCGTTTTAATTGAATAGAGAACAAGTGTACCTATCGACTTTTTTCTAATTGTAATGCATTTCATTAAATTCTCTCATAAAATATATTGAAAATGAAGATTATTGTTTTTTAAAGTTAAGAGATTAGATAAAATAATTTTTAGTTTCTCAATAGTATTCTAAGGTGTTCATGTTTCAATAATCAGTTTCAAATATATGCACTATAGCAAACTATCAGAGAATATAATATATAAATTATTGCTATATTTCGTCACGTCAAAGATTAATGAAAATTATATTTCAATAAAATAATTCAGGCTAAAATATTTGTTTCGCAACCAAATAACTAGAACGGAATCGACATCCGTTTATGAATATTTTTTGTTTATACATATATGACACATTCACTCTATACTTATGTAACTATAAAATCATTCATTAATATATTATAACGATGTAAAAGAAAATTTATTGAGAACATACCAAAAAGTTAATTTTCTACTTTCTAACAATGCGTTGTTTACTTAATGAATATAATTAGTATTAATAAACTCCGAATAGTGTATGAAAGAAATATGTTAGCATCTTCTTCTTTTTTTCGATAAGTGATCGCATAAAATAATATTACATTAAGCCCTGTGCAAAACATATAAAGTGTTTCAATCTTAAATAATTCTTCAAATCTTACAAAAATCTTTCTCCTTAAACTTACCATTGAGAATTCTTTTCAAACTGTCAAATGATTCCTTCTAAAGAACCTGTTACAGATTCACTCTTATGGTTTCTCTACTCGATTCTAGAATGACGACTATTAGGAAGAATATTTTTCTAATTTGCGACTTGATAATTCCCTTTAAATTTACATGAATTCCTAAAAAAAAAAGATCTACTGAAGGAATATTGTCCTATACATTCGAAATTACAGGACTGAGGTTTCTATTACTAATTTAGATATTACCCATCGAAATAGCTAGTGGTACTCGCGAGAGTAATTCTATTCTTTTCCAACACTAATTGTTAGTATAAAATAAATCTCACAACAGAATCATCCATTTAGATTAAAACGAAAACAAATATTCTCCACGGTCTCTAGATTATCTATAAATAATTTCTCTTTCTATTCAATGAGGTGAGGACGAGGAAAAGACACAGAGAGACAAAGTGTGACTGAGGGTAGATGTGAGAGTCTTACCATTCTCTCTCCTATCTCTTTTTCAGCGTAGTGAGAGATAAGATATATCCATACAGATAGAGGTAGACTACGATACTTCTATAGCGATATAAGTGTTTTGAATTAGCCACAAATTCAAATTCCCCATCATATCTTTCGACATTATAAATCTGACCCGATTCACGGAGAATCCAGATTTGATAAGAAAACAGAGAAAATAACTAACTGAATCCCATCACCATGTGTCATCAGAATTACAGTTCACCGAACAAAATCCGACTTATCGATAATGGTCTAGGAAATAGTAGAAATAAGCTCGTATACCGATATGTATAATGAATAGAGGTGCGAAGAAAAGTTTGGACACATAGACCATGTGACACCGTTCTTTTTTAATGTTTCTGGTTGACTAACTGTAATAACATCACCATGTTCAAAATCAGAATTTGATAAATCAGATTCTTTTGATATATGTTCACTATTAGATGTATCATTTGATTCAGTTGCAAGAAAATCAGATTCACTATCTGAATCAGAGCCTTGATTACCATTAACATCATTATTAATTTTATTTTCATCTGCTAATAGAATATCTCGAATTCGTTTTAAATTTGACTTATGTATTGCGCTCATGCTATATAATAACAGAAAAAGTGAAAATGCATGATATAGTTTAATTTTCTCACATGTTTAGAAGAGTTAATAACAGATTCAAGAATCACAATAAGTAGACAAGTAGCAGTATAGACAGAATATATTTTTGATTTTGGAAATAGTTACGAGTTCGAATTTCACTTTATACGAAGAAAGGATGAATCATTAGCACTATAAATGAACGTGGAAACAAATCATAACACATCTGTTTGGAAAACAATTGAAAGAAAATAGATGGCAGCTTTAGTAAGACAAAAGATCATATTTATAGCACAATGGGTGTTCTTGGGTCCGCGCGGACCCACCACTGTATTCCTCCCTCGGGAGAGGTACTTCTGACATCTAATGAGGATATTATGGGTCAACTAAGGATTAGAGATTAGGGAAATGAAATGACTCAAAACACTAAAGAGTGGATAATTAGCATTGAGAAAATTGTTGGATGGGCCCACGTGGACCCCACAATGAGCAACTAAAAAGAGAAAAACTACATTACTTTTATTTACAATTGACAAGAAAAAAAGAAACAAATATAAGTGATTACTGTACCAATGAAGCTTTTTTTCTTTCAATGGTTTGCTTCTTTTTCTTTTTGTACCAATCCCCACTTGCTTTTTTTCTCAGGTGGAGGCTTTTGCAATATTTTAATCTAATGAACATACCAATAATGTGCTTGCATATATATTTTTTCATGAATTGTGGGCAGGTGCTGATTGCTTCTTTTCACTTTTCAGCATTGTTAGAGCAAACAAATAATATATATCGTTGTATCATACCATTCATAATATAGATATAACGTCTTTGTTCAGTTTAACCCAATTGTATGCAGTAGTTCGCAATATGGTAATGCTATTGATAAGGGATATAGAATTTCGCGTTCTTTGGACCATTTATTGACTATAGAAAAATAAGACAACTTTAAATTCTTTTAACTGCTTCAATGCGTTGCTAGAAGGTTGAGTTTACCCTAGTGAAACATCCTGTAAGTAAGATCTTGAGTAAGAATTCATAAGATCTTGAATGATGCATTCTGAAAGCATGTTTGATATTTTTCAATTTATTTTAATAATAATTATTTCTGTCCCGAATAACTCAGATGTTAATGGGATCTGACCGGCTTTAAGTGGGTCCGAATTTCGTCAGACCAATTTCGGGTAGTCCTCTCTCGATCGATGATCGAGATCAGCATTCTCTCGAATAATCAATAGTCGAGAAATAGTTTAGAAAACAACTTATCTTGAGAAATTATGTTTTGCATGTTCAATCATGTTGCTTATATTCAGTTCTGCATGCACAAAAAGGTGGTGAATGACTAGATATACGATCTAAATAAACTAATGATGTTGCTTTCTGTTTTACTCAACATCTTGTGAGAAGATAATAGTAAACGATATCTTTTCCATGATCTTGCGAAGATCTTACTTACCAATCCCAAGATTTCCAGATCTTGCTTACAAGATGTTTCACTAGGGTACATACCATTTTAACAGAATCAGAATTATACTGTGGTACGTGTTTGCGATTGAATCATTTTTGTATAAATTACATATAATATTTCATGAAGTTATTTTATACTCTTTATTTAAATGAATTATTTCTCATTCCAATATATATTTCTATTCATGATTCNGAATTTATACTGTGCTACGTGTTTGCGATTGAATCATTTTTGTATAAATTACATATAATATTTCATGAAGTTATTTTATACTTTATTTAAATGAGAATTATTCCTCATTCCAATATATTTCTATTGCTCTATTAATTATAAGTCAAACATATTCTAGAAGTAAGAAATGTGCGATTTTCTAAATAGCCCAGACGAGCAAAGGATGGGTAAAAAGACTAGTCGCATATTTAGTCATGACGGAGCGTCCATTGTAGTCTTTTTCTCAAAAAGTCCTAGTACATGACTAGCCCTGTAGTAGAACTTTTTGGGAAAAAGACTAGTCATGAAGAATAGTCCTGACGATCGCCAGAATTCTCCAAAAATTCGATATTGGAATCATGTTCACAGTCAGTATATCTCACACTAGTAATCCATACCGTCTTAAATCCATCTTCTTGAAACAAGTTATGACATCCAGACTAGTCTAAATGATAGTTCTGCTGTTCAATACAAGAAAAGTTCTAGCAGAATTTTCTGAAATGGCTGACTAGCCCAAACTTGTTGGAAGGACGTTGTCTTATAGGTGGACTAGACAAGACAAATATACTGAGGTTTTAGGCTAGACAGGTCGCGCTTCATACCGTCTCTTTTGCTCACTTGGGCTAGGAAATGCTCTATTTAAGAGAACGAAAAAGATTCTAGTAAAATATTTTTTGATCATAGGAAAATAATACAACGTGTATAATAAGCTCATATACGAAACATCGAAATTGTGCATTAACAAATTTCTAATATTCATATGCATGAGTCGTATATATAAGAAAATAAATCGTTATATATTACAGTACAACCTCTATAAAATGAACACACGCGCAACAATTTATAAGTTTGTGTGTGCAGCAAGAGAAAAAAGAGATGAAAATTTAAAACAAAAAAAAAACATAACGTGTATTCTTAAACAGTGTTACACTAATTAATCGGCGGTCTATTGACCAGAAATAAAATCCGTCGTATGTATAGAACAAAAGGAATAATGAAAATGAATAGTCCACGTATAAAGATGAACATTTACATGTGAAATAACAAAGCACTTTTCTATTTACGATTGTGTGATGACAACGAAACACACATTAACGCCCCTCTCTGAAAAGATACAGCTGATTCTTGAAAACGAAGAGAAGTTTTCGTACCGTACACTTCCTGACAAATATAAGATCTCAATCGGCAGTTTATCTAACATTATCAAGCGCAAGGTCGAGTATATTGAAAGTTATGAACAAAATGAAAGTTCAACTAAGAAGCGCAATCTACGAGATGAATTCAGTCAACAGCATCATA